GGAAGCTGTTAATAACTAAAACAGCCACTAAATACTTAAAATATGCTATAGAGCTTTGTATTATGAAACTTCAGTAACAGTTGAACTCCCACAGAAAAATTATTTAAAAGCCTGTGGAAGAAAATATAAGACTTGGAGGAAAATAGTCTATTGTTCTTATTGTATTTTGTAAATTACTGTACAGTTTTCTTTTTGGAAAAAAGATGTAATATTGTCTTCATTTTTAAATAATTTATTTTATACATATTGTGCAAATGTAAATAAACTTGTAATTAATGTTCAAAACTGTAAAAAAAATAGATATTTTAACTGTAAAACTGTTTTTGTCTAATGTTCTATTGGACCAAAGTTGTAGTTTTTATTAAGTGTAGTGTGTTCCTGGTTGGCAGGTCTCTTTTGTATGGCATGTGTTTTGATTTAGCTGCTTGTTTCATCACCATTAACTGTAAAAGAATTGAAACTGAACTGTATTGCATGCTTCACAGAACCCTTAACTCCTTTATGTCAATATCTGATACAATTGTGATATATGCAAAATCATATTTCATATTGGTCTGCTGTTGTAATGCCATACCTATGACTTACTATACTGAAAATATTTTTGTGTAAAACAAAATCTTTTGCTCTTATATGGTGGTCTCGTAATAGAGCCTATTTTTTTGCAACAAAATGCCTTTGAATGAAAATTCTTAAATTGTATATTGTCTATTTTAATATTAATCTATGGAAGGATATGTAAATAGTTGTAAATATAATGTTTAATAAATTTTATTGGTCATGTTACTAGTTGGTCTTTCTTAATATTGACACTTGCTGTATCAAATCTTAGCATTCCTGAAGTATTACAAGGAGGCTCAGTGAAAAACTTAACAAAAATCCCACGTTGCGTATTGCAATGCTTTTTTATTTTTAGTGCTGTTAATGAGCAGACAGTTAATTATTTATTAGTAGGAGGTTACAGATATTCATGAAAAAGATTTGTTACCCTCTCGTCCATGAATTATTCAAGAATGCTTGGGATCTGATGACTGTGAAATTACTTCTGAAAAAATGGGGCTTAGGAAGAGATCGCATTACCTGGAAGAGAGATTTAAAGTACTTGGTTCCAACTGATTTTTAATTACTAGGGGGGCTGCTACAGAGTAGTTCCTCCTTATGCTGGTATGAATGCCCAGGGTAATGTGATGGAGAGCAAGCTGGCTCTGAACAAGAGACTTCATGGACAGTGAGCTCTTTCCCATGTGCACATCAAGTTCCAATCAAGAGTAAAGTAATGGCAACTCAAGCATAGTAAAACCAATTCATACGTAGTTCCTGCCCTATAACTTTTTCCCCCCCACTTTTGTTAGGGACCTGTGGAAGAAGTTGTTCCTGCTTCTTTCTATATAGGCATATCTGCTTGATGTAACTCAGAATTGGTTATGTACTGAGGGAAATGCAAATGTTATATTCTCCTGAAAGTAGCTGTAAATTTTTAAAATAATATAGAAATCTGTATTGGCTGCTCAAAAAGATAAGGTAAAAATGGATAAAGCTGCAAGGTGTTAACAACCAGCAAGGGGGTATGGATTTACTTCTATCAGATACTTAAGAGTAATAGAAGCTAACATACATATCTGAAAATAGGAGACTCTAAAATTGACTTTTTAAAGTATGGGATATGAATAATTAAGAATATTTTGTAAAGAGGGGGAAGGATAAACTG